TTGATTTTCTTTAATACGATTGGTACTATACTGAACAGTTGGAGACTTCTTCAGGCTTGAAGTAAAGTAAATCCGTCACTTTGAGCACAACACATTACATTTACATCTTGTACAATTTCGTTATACAGTATAAGGTATATAAGGCGCGAATGGAAATGCATTTTATGACGTTGTGAATTAGTTTCATAAATAAAGAAAGTAAATTTAAATAGATATAACATTTTAATGACTAAGATAATTATTAAGTATGTCAAAATTTGACACAGGTGCGAGCTATCAATAGGCGTCGGATGAGTAATCGAGTAATTAAACTAATCAGCATTTTACACTTGATTTCCATCACTATAAATAGTACGAGATCATTGCTATGGCTATAAACGACCATGATCTATCTTGCAGGTATTTTCCTCTTTGCAATCGCTTCGGCCATTCCAAGTGGTAAGACTATTATTATTAATAATATAACAGTAAGCTTGTAGTCAGTTTTTATAGTATAAAAATCAAAAATAAATCACAGTTTGAATAAACTTTTGATAAACTTTCTTTAAAATTCGCAAATACAGGTCGAGTAGACGTGGTGTTTCCATCCGTGGAAACGTCCAGGTCTGGAGTGAAGACGGTCAAATTCCGAGCTCTAAACGAAGATATAGAACTAAAGTTAGAACCCGCTGGTGACATATTGGCCAAAAACTTCGCACTTGTTGATCAACAACCAAACTCAGTAAGCCATTTAAAACACTTATGAAATGCGTTAATCACATTTTCTCTAATGTTATAATCTGTACAAATTATTAGAATTAGAATGATTTTTTTCGAATAAAATAGTAACTTTATATCAAATATTTCAATGCTTTAAGATCGACGTAGAAGACTTAAAAAGAAGAATTTACAGAGACAGCACTAATGGAGCCGCTCTTTTGATCGACGAAGATGGGCCTGTCACTATTGTAATTTTTATAATAATCGATATTTTATATCCTATAATATTACATAGATTCTTAAACTTCTTTGTATACTTTTAGCAAGGAATTGTAAATTCAAAACTTAGAATCGAACCGTATGAGTCGGGTAGAACCGTTAAAGATGGGCAAGTACCACATAAAATTGTAGAAGTTATAAATGATAAAAAGTCCTTTCTGAATGATGCAGGTGAATATATTTAACACTTTTAACATTACTAATCGTTGGCAGCTGATTTTTTTGAAATTCGATAATGTTTTCAACTTGTTTTCAGTCATGCATATGGATGTTAACGAAGAAATGGAAAAGGTTGCGACAATGGCCAGAGACGATCAGTGCATAGTTGTGGAATGTCTGGTTGTTACAGAAAGTGCTTTTACGAAACGATTCGAAACTACGAAAGCTTTAACGGAATACGTAACTGTCATGTATACTGGGGTAGGATATAAATTCTCAAATGTTTTTAAATTGAATAAAATAGTTCATAGAAGCTTAATTTTGAATTAAAATTTATAACTTTTTACGATTTTTCTTTTTTTAATTTAGGTTCAAAACCTAATTGATACATTACAATTGGGAATAAAATTTCGTTTGCTTGGAATTGATCCATTTACGGTAATCCACTAATTATATTTATTTACTGGGCTGCAATTTAAAAACTGTAGAGCTATAAATTTCCACTGCTGACCGTTTCGCTGTCTGTCTCTGCTTCGTTAATCTCGAGAATGGTGTTAGATAAACGAAAAGAGAGACTGGATACGGAAAGTTTAGTGGTAGAAGGCCCCGATTAAGTATACAAACGTCTGGTGAAGGCCGGAAGTGACGTGATTTTAATTAATACATTTATTTGGAGTTACAAAGATGACCGAAATGACACCTGTTGTTGCCAGGGAGGGCACGATGTACAGAAGCAAGACACTGATAATTTGAAACAGAAAGCGTATATATTAAATTAAATAAATAAAAAATATGAATATAAATTGCAGCCCGGCATTTTGACGATGTCATAATAAATAATCGCTCGTTTAACTTTATTTTCATTTATAGAAAGAAACAGAACCACCTTATATAGAAGAGAGTGCAAATCCGGTAAACCCAAAATATCTTAATCCTCTTGATTTAATTGATCGTATGGGAAAATACTACTGTAATCATGCTACTGGTTTAGCTAAAGATGCTGATATGATCATGCTGCTTGTTACGTAAGTATTCAATTATATCGGAATGTACAGATTTGAGATGAATTAATTTTAAAATATATTATTTAGACGAAACTTGGGCGAGCTAAAAGATGATGGTACAGTTAAATTTAGAGTTGTGGGTAAACCCTTTTCCCATTTACTTCTTAATCCTACAATTTGTTCTATGTACAGTATACTTTCAAGTAAATTTATTTTGCAGGCCTTGCATACAAAGGCGCAGTTTGTAAAAAATGTTACAAAGTTGGCGTCTGTAAAGACGATTCATGGTACAACGAAAGAGTTGATACAGTAGCTCATGAATCAGCTCATCTGTAAGTAATTCAAAACATTATATCAAATGCTGAAATAATATGAATTTGAGAAGAAATTATTGAAAAAAATTTCAGACTTGGAAGTCCTCACGACGGCGAGCCAGGAGCAGAAGATTGCCCAGAAACTGACGGTTATATTATGGGAAATCGAAGAAATGCTACTAACAAATTTAAATTTTCCGAATGCTCGAAGAATTGCGTTAAAGATGCATTATCGTAAGAATGATTTTTATTACTAAATTCGAATAGTTTAGAAATAAATACTTTAATAACATAATTTTTTCTTAAAGGTTACCTGGAGCTTCTTGTGTATACAAAAGCTGTGGAATCTATTAATTCGTATTTAATAATATATTCGACATTCACCGAAATATTGCTTTAAACGACAAAGAAAATAGTGCATTTCAAATATTACATTAAATTACTTTTTAATTCAAAAATAATTTAAAACAAATAAAGTTATTCAAATGCAGTCATATTTTTCGTCTGGTTTATTTTTTATTCAATAAAATTATAAAATTGTTAACTGGCTTTTTCTAGTGAAGAGTATGGATTATGTGGCCTTTCTGGCACACAGTTGTGAGGTTTTTATGTCATTTTGAGTCATCTTATAGCCGAATATGATTACACTCGGAAAATATCTGAGAAAAGTGGGTTAGGTTAGGTTAGGTTAGGTTAGGTTAGGTTAGGTTAAGTTATAATATAGATTGGCCTATAGCATATTAACTTGCTTAAATATTATAAGGTGTGACTGCAGCAATATCAGTTTTTATGATTGATGACCGCCGTATTTTATTTTACATTACTTCAACTAAAAATTATGTTTAATAAACGAACAAATACAGAAAGAAGTGCAAAACAAAATAAGCTTTCTGCTACAGAACGTGGAAAACAGAGTGCGGGAAGATTTATCGCCTCCTGAAAGTTGAGGTGAGCACAGTATGAAATTCACATTACTTGACACACCCCTCATTTCGATATCTCTTGAGATGTCGAAATGTAGTCCTATGTTTCAGGTATTACGAGTATTTAATATGCAAGAACTTTTTATATATATATTGCAGTCAGTCACATAACATCGAACTTCTGAATTTGACAATCTTTTCTGTTCCCAAAGCTTTCGTAAAATGTCAGCAATATTCTCATTTGTACTCATATGTTAAATTTAAACTTCCTTGTTTCAAGATAGGTCTTTGATGTAGTGATATCTGATATCAATATGCTTTCACTCTGAATTCTCAAAAGTTTTTATGTGAGAAATCGCACTCGTGTTGTCAAGTTTGAAGATTGCGATATTACACTTACCAAATTCGAATAAAATATTTTTCAAATTCATTAATTCTTGAGTTTCGATGCTAGCTGAAATATATTCACCATTCATGGATGAAAGCCACACATTTCTGTTTTCTGGAGTACCATGCAATGTATTTCCAACATGAAAACCAATCATTCTGCACACACCTTTTTAGTTTTCGTATCTCTTCCCTAATCAGTATTACTCGTGCCTATTACACCGTCTAAATCTTTCGTAAAACGAAGTGTAAGATCTGAGATGTCTCGAGCGACTAAAAACCTGTCCAGTGACGTGACGTGAAAAGGTAACAGACAGATAGCAGAATTGACAGACAGCAAAATTATCTTCGAATTTATAATATTAGTGTGGATTAATATGAATTTCTGCTATAATGGGTACGCGAGTTTGAGCTCTTTCTTGAAGTGGTACGCAGGAAAAACTAATTGGGACTTACTAATTTAGACAAACAAGATTATTATCCTCACAGAACTTGAAAAGAANTTTATTGCGTCCACTTTTCGTAATAAATAATCAAGAAATGAATAATTTAGAATTTTATCGTTTTCAGTTTTAATTTTTATTACCCGAAAAAGTGAAAACAAAGACGAAAATATTTTAAATAAATTGATATTTAAAGCATTTATTGCAATGAAAATTATTAAATAAATTATAAATTATATATCATAAATTATAATAATAGAGATTGTAACTATTATTATTGATATAAATAAAGTTTTATTTTACTATATTAATCTTTAATTAATTCAAAAACTAAACTTAAAATTTCTTCTTTTGGATCTCAATATGAATATAAATTTCAACATTATTTAGAATGTTATTGTGAAAGATTTTGATTTTCTTTAATACGATTGGTACTATACTGAACAGTTGGAGACTTCTTCAGGCTTGAAGTAAAGTAAATCCGTCACTTTGAGCACAACACATTACATTTACATCTTGTACAATTTCGTTATACAGTATAAGGTATATAAGGCGCGAATGGAAATGCATTTTATGACGTTGTGAATTAGTTTCATAAATAAAGAAAGTAAATTTAAATAGATATAACATTTTAATGACTAAGATAATTATTAAGTATGTCAAAATTTGACACAGGTGCGAGCTATCAATAGGCGTCGGATGAGTAATCGAGTAATTAAACTAATCAGCATTTTACACTTGATTTCCATCACTATAAATAGTACGAGATCATTGCTATGGCTATAAACGACCATGATCTATCTTGCAGGTATTTTCCTCTTTGCAATCGCTTCGGCCATTCCAAGTGGTAAGACTATTATTATTAATAATATAACAGTAAGCTTGTAGTCAGTTTTTATAGTATAAAAATCAAAAATAAATCACAGTTTGAATAAACTTTTGATAAACTTTCTTTAAAATTCGCAAATACAGGTCGAGTAGACGTGGTGTTTCCATCCGTGGAAACGTCCAGGTCTGGAGTGAAGACGGTCAAATTCCGAGCTCTAAACGAAGATATAGAACTAAAGTTAGAACCCGCTGGTGACATATTGGCCAAAAACTTCGCACTTGTTGATCAACAACCAAACTCAGTAAGCCATTTAAAACACTTATGAAATGCGTTAATCACATTTTCTCTAATGTTATAATCTGTACAAATTATTAGAATTAGAATGATTTTTTTCGAATAAAATAGTAACTTTATATCAAATATTTCAATGCTTTAAGATCGACGTAGAAGACTTAAAAAGAAGAATTTACAGAGACAGCACTAATGGAGCCGCTCTTTTGATCGACGAAGATGGGCCTGTCACTATTGTAATTTTTATAATAATCGATATTTTATATCCTATAATATTACATAGATTCTTAAACTTCTTTGTATACTTTTAGCAAGGAATTGTAAATTCAAAACTTAGAATCGAACCGTATGAGTCGGGTAGAACCGTTAAAGATGGGCAAGTACCACATAAAATTGTAGAAGTTATAAATGATAAAAAGTCCTTTCTGAATGATGCAGGTGAATATATTTAACACTTTTAACATTACTAATCGTTGGCAGCTGATTTTTTTGAAATTCGATAATGTTTTCAACTTGTTTTCAGTCATGCATATGGATGTTAACGAAGAAATGGAAAAGGTTGCGACAATGGCCAGAGACGATCAGTGCATAGTTGTGGAATGTCTGGTTGTTACAGAAAGTGCTTTTACGAAACGATTCGAAACTACGAAAGCTTTAACGGAATACGTAACTGTCATGTATACTGGGGTAGGATATAAATTCTCAAATGTTTTTAAATTGAATAAAATAGTTCATAGAAGCTTAATTTTGAATTAAAATTTATAACTTTTTACGATTTTTCTTTTTTTAATTTAGGTTCAAAACCTAATTGATACATTACAATTGGGAATAAAATTTCGTTTGCTTGGAATTGATCCATTTACGGTAATCCACTAATTATATTTATTTACTGGGCTGCAATTTAAAAACTGTAGAGCTATAAATTTCCACTGCTGACCGTTTCGCTGTCTGTCTCTGCTTCGTTAATCTCGAGAATGGTGTTAGATAAACGAAAAGAGAGACTGGATACGGAAAGTTTAGTGGTAGAAGGCCCCGATTAAGTATACAAACGTCTGGTGAAGGCCGGAAGTGACGTGATTTTAATTAATACATTTATTTGGAGTTACAAAGATGACCGAAATGACACCTGTTGTTGCCAGGGAGGGCACGATGTACAGAAGCAAGACACTGATAATTTGAAACAGAAAGCGTATATATTAAATTAAATAAATAAAAAATATGAATATAAATTGCAGCCCGGCATTTTGACGATGTCATAATAAATAATCGCTCGTTTAACTTTATTTTCATTTATAGAAAGAAACAGAACCACCTTATATAGAAGAGAGTGCAAATCCGGTAAACCCAAAATATCTTAATCCTCTTGATTTAATTGATCGTATGGGAAAATACTACTGTAATCATGCTACTGGTTTAGCTAAAGATGCTGATATGATCATGCTGCTTGTTACGTAAGTATTCAATTATATCGGAATGTACAGATTTGAGATGAACTAATTTTAAAATATATTATTTAGACGAAACTTGGGCGAGCTAAAAGATGATGGTACAGTTAAATTTAGAGTTGTGGGTAAACCCTTTTCCCATTTACTTCTTAATCCTACAATTTGTTCTATGTACAGTATACTTTCAAGTAAATTTATTTTGCAGGCCTTGCATACAAAGGCGCAGTTTGTAAAAAATGTTACAAAGTTGGCGTCTGTAAAGACGATTCATGGTACAACGAAAGAGTTGATACAGTAGCTCATGAATCAGCTCATCTGTAAGTAATTCAAAACATTATATCAAATGCTGAAATAATATGAATTTGAGAAGAAATTATTGAAAAAAATTTCAGACTTGGAAGTCCTCACGACGGCGAGCCAGGAGCAGAAGATTGCCCAGAAACTGACGGTTATATTATGGGAAATCGAAGAAATGCTACTAACAAATTTAAATTTTCCGAATGCTCGAAGAATTGCGTTAAAGATGCATTATCGTAAGAATGATTTTTATTACTAAATTCGAATAGTTTAGAAATAAATACTTTAATAACATAATTTTCTCTTAAAGGTTACCAGAAGCTAAGTGTGTATACGAAAGCTGTGGATTTCAGTAATTGGTATTTAATGATATATTCGACACTCAACGAAATATTGCTTGAAACGACAAAGAAAATAGTGTATTTCAAATATTGCATTAAATTACTTTTTAATTAAAAAATAATTTAAAACAAATAAAGTTATTCAAATGCAGTTATATTTGTCGTCTGGTTTCTTTTTTCTCAATAAAATTGTAAAATAGTTAATGCACTATGTCTCCTTTTTGGCACACAGTTGTGAGGTTTCTGTGTCCTTTAGACCTTTCTTATCGCCGAATATGATTACACTCGGAAAATATCTGAAAAAAGTGGGTTACGCCTGCTACTGGAGATTTTGATGGGTTTGAGGATGACAATAGCACTTTTCGAATCATCACAAATATTTTTCACGTTGGAAACACTCAAGCAGAAATGAAAATGAAGCATATAAACACAAATTCCAATGACTGGATAGAAAGGAACAAACAAGTCTTAACGACTAGAAAAAACGACCGACGACAGACTGAAATGTGCCGTTCTTCGTCTTATTCAAAGATACAAATTCTTCAGAAATGTTTAAAGTCAAAAGAAAGATGTTTAAATTTGTCACTATCAGCTATGAGAAAGCGTAAGTTGACGCTCTCTTAGGTCAGAAAGTTGATATATACCAACTTTTCATGAGATCATCATCAGATTGTTTTCCTTTGTCTTGTTCGATTCTCACAATTACATTAAAAAACACAAATTCCTAATATTAAGAATACCTTACAAAATAGAAATCGAGAAAAACTCACTCAATATTGGTATGAAGAAAATGGTGTTTTATCGTTATACGATATTCCAGTCATTAGACCAGCATTTAAGAGAAAGGGAATGAACACAGGCATTCTAATCTAATTACTATCTATTAGTTATAATATAAATTGGCGTATAGCATATTAACTTGCTTAAATATTATAAAACTAGCAGGTGGGCCCGGCGTTGCTCGGGCAAAAGTAACGATAACTAAGATAAAGATTATTACGTTACAGTCAACCTTACCCGTTTTCACAGAATTCAAGAATTGGGTCCCCTTAGAGAATTTTTAGATGGGTCTAAAAATATGTTCGATTTCCCGCAAAAACGAAAAAAACTGCATTTGCGTCTTGCACGTCGCTTTCTCTTAACAATTCCATTGTTACGTAGCATTTCCATTGTTGACACTTCCATTGTTACTTAACACTTCCATTGTTAC